CATGGCCCAATTCAACACAATCAAACTGAACATATTGAGGCTGATAGGCAATTTTTTTTTTTTTTTGATACAAGACAAGACTTTAACTGCATTAAAAATAGAGAACAAAGAGAAAAAATGAAAATGTAATAAAGATCAATCGATTAGAAATGGCATTCCAATTATATTGTAATAACAAAAGAGGAATATCAGGAAACTCCTTTGTTACTGCCACCCAGACACTCCATTTTGTCCCACAAAAGCTCCACCTCCACCTCTTCATCATTGCCTTAACAATTCTAATATTCATTTCCATCCCCACCACTTGAAATAGAGAAGCTAAGTTTGGGCCTTATTGGGTATACCTTTTGTGAAGAGTGGGGGACAACTGGCTGATGTTTTGAGTAAATGAGTAAGGCGTCTCGCAATATTTTAGGCAAGTTGGGCATGTGTAATATCTATGCACTAGGTTGGGAGGGTGTTTAAATTTCTGAAAAATCTGAATGATTCTCATTCTCATGATTTGCTTGTTGTACCAAAAAATATTGATACAGAGGAGTGTAGGACTGAATTAGTTCATTCTGCTCTTTTTAAAAAAAGCCACTCTTGCTATTCTTATTTTCTCTTGCACACAAACCCAAAAAACTATGACATTCACATTCCAACTGTTAGGACTTTGGGGCAAGAAGAACTCGGTGGCCTGGTTGTCTTGGTCTCGTAGTTTCACTAGTGGAATTTGAATTTTTTTCAAATTTGGGCTTGGGCTTCATTTCCTGTTTAGAATTGTCAAACCATGTGAAAATCTCTATGCAAGACTACTAACAAAAACACCAAATTAACCTATTCCGCAATCCCTGTTCTAAAGGTTGAAGTTACCCAAGTACTCTTAGTTGGAAACACAATTCTGTGCATTTGTGTGCATGCATGCTTGTTTGTGTGTGCGATTGAGTGTTGACTCTATTTCTGAAAAGGAATAACCACTATAAACCTCTTATTATATGGAAATGCTGGTGGCATATTCTTTATTTCATTATTATGGAAGTGTTCTCATTGCGTTTTTTAATTGTTGTGGTTCATGCATTGGATGCAGATCTTTAATCCGTACCGAGTCTTATTACTTGAGAAATTTGAATCAATTTAGTTTTTGTACTTTCTTCTCTTCTGTGTTTCTAGTTTCCTGATGACATTGAGCATGATGCAAAAAATGAGGAAGAAAGTCCATTGTTTGAAACCATTCGGAGCAAATGCATCACACAATTGTTACTTCTAGGTGCCATTGATAGTATCCAGGTATGATACTGATTTTTGCAGTTTTTCTGCTTGTAATTAATTTCTCTTCTCAGAATTTTTACTCTATTTCCCCAAATACCTTATGACCATTAATATGCAAATCATGAGTTTCTTGTCATTTCAGAACTGATGGAGCTCCAAACTTAACTTCTAATTTATATCCACTTTAAAGGCCTGTGGCAAGAGTGCTGCAGCATGCCAAGGCATCTACGGATTTCCCTGGATGTTTTTGTTCAAATAAATGATATATCATCTTTCTGTGTGGCGTGTTTGAGCTGACAGAATGCTAGTATCAATAGCCATAGAATAATTTAGACAATCTCTGTGTGTGTGTGTGGGTGTGAACATAATTGAAAAAATTACAAAGCCTGTGGGAGAGAAGAGGGGTGGGAGGAGTTACCAATGCGTCAAACGGATGGTGCAAGTGTTAGAAATCGCTCTTTGTTGTGGTGTTGTGATTAAGGAGAAGGAAAAAGAGGGAATAAAAAGAGATTTTCCATTGACATCTTTTGAACATGCAGAAAAGGAAGAAGAGAAAAATGTAACAGAATTTAATGTGATGTGTTCTGAACATGCAGAAGAAATACTGGAACAAGTTGAATGCACCACAAAAGATTAGCATAATGGACATTTTGTTCTCTGTATTAGAGTTTGCTGCAACATATAATTCATATACCAACCTCAGATTGCGAATGCACTCCATTCCTGTTGAAAGGTAGGCTACATGTGATTTTGAATCCCTATCCTTTACTTCTTTGCTAGCCTTTGAATTCATATTTTTAAACTGCAAGAACCTTGATCATTATTAATTATATCCTTGGACAGGCCACCGTTGAATCTTCTCCGCCAGGAAATAGTTGGGACTTGTGTTTATTTGGATGTCTTACAGAAAACAACTGCAGGAGTTGATCCCTGCAGAGAGGACTCACTTCAAACAAATGTTCCACGGGATGTAGATAATGCAACTCTCACTGAACATAATGAAGACCAAAAGCTTCAAGGAATAGCAGAAGAAAAACTAGTATCTTTTTGTGGGCAGATACTGAGGGAGGCATCTGATTTTCAGTTCAGTGTGGGGGAGACAACTAATATGGATATACATCGAGTTCTAGAATTGCGCTCTCCAATCATTGTTAAGGTATGAAATATAGGATATGAGTGGTTTTTGAGTTTCTGGTATGTTACAGACAACCTTGTGTCGATTTGATATTGTTCTTTACCATGTAAATTATTACAACCTAAAGAAATATAGCACTTTCTTTTTCTCTCAAGAAACTAGAAATAAGAAATTGAAGGAAAAGGTCAAGAAATCAACGCAGGGCTCTTGCATAAGAGAAAATACATTTTTTACCCCTTTCCACCCGTGGCCAAAAAAAGAATCAATCTGATTTATCTATACTGCAGAACAAACTCGGCTCTTTTTTTTTTTAATCAAGAGAAACTGGCGCCATGATCCGATAGTTTGAAATCACACCCAACCTCTGCCATGTACGAGTAACAATGGGTTGGATTCCACTCTGTAAAACTTGTTGAGAGCATCACCCTAGCTATGGTGCATCTCTATTGGAGATGTTTCTGTTACCTACCTGTTTAAACAGATCAAATTTTTATTTTCTGAATGGCCTCTAGAAATTCTTCCAATTTCTGTCTTAGCAGTTTCCAAGAATGCAGTTCAACCACCAATGCCTGATGGAACTCGTTTTATAAGCCCTGAGGTTCCTATTAGAAAGATGAGAATTAGGCTGTGATTAAGAACCCTGCATGCGTACATGGATGAACACGTGCTTCTTACTATGTTGCATCTTGGCCTTCTCTTTAGAGTTATTCTACAATCTTATACTTGCAGTTATTTTAATTATAGTAGTCCACTCCCTCTTAGATCCCACAGTGACCGGAGCTTTGTGTACTGGGTTGTCTTTTTTTAATGTTTGTCTATGTCTGATGAGGAATGTCTGCTTGTCAATACTAGGACTTTTCATGCTTTTGGTTCTACAAAATAATGTTCCTTTTTTCCTTTCTTCAAAGGCGCATCAACTTCTGCCATTCCATTTTTGGCCCTGGCGTTTGCATATTCAATATTACTGAGAACCTGTTCTCCTTCCTTCTCTGTCTTCACTGACTCTGACAAATTACCGTTTAAGGAAGCTATGTCGCATTTTTTTTTTGTGTACAATTGTACTTGTAGGATTATCATTTTCAGGTTCATATGTGACCCTCTTTATTATCATGAAAAGGAGCAATAAACTCATATTTGTTGGGTTTTCAGGTGCTTAAAGGCATGTGCTTTATGAATACCCAGATATTCAGAAAACACTTGATGGAGTTCTATCCTTCGATTACTAAACTTGTTTGCTGTGACCAGGTAATATATCAACTGCCAAATATATACTACATTTGATATTTGCTACTTCATCGTTTGCAAGACAAGCAAGCAACAAGGATGAAAGAGTGTTTTGCAAACGATGAAGTAGCAAATATCAAATGTAGTATATATTTGGCAGTTGATATATTACCTGGTCACAGCAAACAAGTTTAGTAATCGAAGGATAGAACTCCATCAAGTGTTTTCTGAATATCTGGGTATTCATAAAGCACATGCCTTTAAGCACCTGAAAACCCAACAAATATGAGTTTATTGCTCCTTTTCATGATAATAAAGAGGGTCACATATGAACCTGAAAATGATAATCCTACAAGTACAATTGTACACAAAAAAAAAATGCGACATAGCTTCCTTAAACGGTAATTTGTCAGAGTCAGTGAAGACAGAGAAGGAAGGAGAACAGGTTCTCAGTAATATTGAATATGCAAACGCCAGGGCCAAAAATGGAATGGCAGAAGTTGATGCGCCTTTGAAGAAAGGAAAAAGGAACATTATTTTGTAGAACCAAAAGCATGAAAAGTCCTAGTATTGACAAGCAGACATTCCTCATCAGACATAGACAAACATTAAAAAAAGACAACCCAGTACACAAAGCTCCGGTCACTGTGGGATCTAAGAGGGAGTGGACTACTATAATTAAAATAACTGCAAGTATAAGATTGTAGAATAACTCTAAAGAGAAGGCCAAGATGCAACATAGTAAGAAGCACGTGTTCATCCATGTACGCATGCAGGGTTCTTAATCACAGCCTAATTCTCATCTTTCTAATAGGAACCTCAGGGCTTATAAAACGAGTTCCATCAGGCATTGGTGGTTGAACTGCATTCTTGGAAACTGCTAAGACAGAAATTGGAAGAATTTCTAGAGGCCATTCAGAAAATAAAAATTTGATCTGTTTAAACAGGTAGGTAACAGAAACATCTCCAATAGAGATGCACCATAGCTAGGGTGATGCTCTCAACAAGTTTTACAGAGTGGAATCCAACCCATTGTTACTCGTACATGGCAGAGGTTGGGTGTGATTTCAAACTATCGGATCATGGCGCCAGTTTCTCTTGATTAAAAAAAAAAAGAGCCGAGTTTGTTCTGCAGTATAGATAAATCAGATTGATTCTTTTTTTTGGCCACGGGTGGAAAGGGGTAAAAAATGTATTTTCTCTTATGCAAGAGCCCTGCGTTGATTTCTTGACCTTTTCCTTCAATTTCTTATTTCTAGTTTCTTGAGAGAAAAAGAAAGTGCTATATTTCTTTAGGTTGTAATAATTTACATGGTAAAGAACAATATCAAATCGACACAAGGTTGTCTGTAACATACCAGAAACTCAAAAACCACTCATATCCTATATTTCATACCTTAACAATGATTGGAGAGCGCAATTCTAGAACTCGATGTATATCCATATTAGTTGTCTCCCCCACACTGAACTGAAAATCAGATGCCTCCCTCAGTATCTGCCCACAAAAAGATACTAGTTTTTCTTCTGCTATTCCTTGAAGCTTTTGGTCTTCATTATGTTCAGTGAGAGTTGCATTATCTACATCCCGTGGAACATTTGTTTGAAGTGAGTCCTCTCTGCAGGGATCAACTCCTGCAGTTGTTTTCTGTAAGACATCCAAATAAACACAAGTCCCAACTATTTCCTGGCGGAGAAGATTCAACGGTGGCCTGTCCAAGGATATAATTAATAATGATCAAGGTTCTTGCAGTTTAAAAATATGAATTCAAAGGCTAGCAAAGAAGTAAAGGATAGGGATTCAAAATCACATGTAGCCTACCTTTCAACAGGAATGGAGTGCATTCGCAATCTGAGGTTGGTATATGAATTATATGTTGCAGCAAACTCTAATACAGAGAACAAAATGTCCATTATGCTAATCTTTTGTGGTGCATTCAACTTGTTCCAGTATTTCTTCTGCATGTTCAGAACACATCACATTAAATTCTGTTACATTTTTCTCTTCTTCCTTTTCTGCATGTTCAAAAGATGTCAATGGAAAATCTCTTTTTATTCCCTCTTTTTCCTTCTCCTTAATCACAACACCACAACAAAGAGCGATTTCTAACACTTGCACCATCCGTTTGACGCATTGGTAACTCCTCCCACCCCTCTTCTCTCCCACAGGCTTTGTAATTTTTTCAATTATGTTCACACCCACACACACACACAGAGATTGTCTAAATTATTCTATGGCTATTGATACTAGCATTCTGTCAGCTCAAACACGCCACACAGAAAGATGATATATCATTTATTTGAACAAAAACATCCAGGGAAATCCGTAGATGCCTTGGCATGCTGCAGCACTCTTGCCACAGGCCTTTAAAGTGGATATAAATTAGAAGTTAAGTTTGGAGCTCCATCAGTTCTGAAATGACAAGAAACTCATGATTTGCATATTAATGGTCATAAGGTATTTGGGGAAATAGAGTAAAAATTCTGAGAAGAGAAATTAATTACAAGCAGAAAAACTGCAAAAATCAGTATCATACCTGGATACTATCAATGGCACCTAGAAGTAACAATTGTGTGATGCATTTGCTCCGAATGGTTTCAAACAATGGACTTTCTTCCTCATTTTTTGCATCATGCTCAATGTCATCAGGAAACTAGAAACACAGAAGAGAAGAAAGTACAAAAACTAAATTGATTCAAATTTCTCAAGTAATAAGACTCGGTACGGATTAAAGATCTGCATCCAATGCATGAACCACAACAATTAAAAAACGCAATGAGAACACTTCCATAATAATGAAATAAAGAATATGCCACCAGCATTTCCATATAATAAGAGGTTTATAGTGGTTATTCCTTTTCAGAAATAGAGTCAACACTCAATCGCACACACAAACAAGCATGCATGCACACAAATGCACAGAATTGTGTTTCCAACTAAGAGTACTTGGGTAACTTCAACCTTTAGAACAGGGATTGCGGAATAGGTTAATTTGGTGTTTTTGTTAGTAGTCTTGCATAGAGATTTTCACATGGTTTGACAATTCTAAACAGGAAATGAAGCCCAAGCCCAAATTTGAAAAAAATTCAAATTCCACTAGTGAAACTACGAGACCAAGACAACCAGGCCACCGAGTTCTTCTTGCCCCAAAGTCCTAACAGTTGGAATGTGAATGTCATAGTTTTTTGGGTTTGTGTGGAAGAGAAAATAAGAATAGCAAGAGTGGCTTTTTTTAAAAAGAGCAGAATGAACTAATTCAGTCCTACACTCCTCTGTATCAATATTTTTTGGTACAACAAGCAAATCATGAGAATGAGAATCATTCAGATTTTTCAGAAATTTAAACACCCTCCCAACCTAGTGCATAGATATTACACATGCCCAACTTGCCTAAAATATTGCGAGACGCCTTACTCATTTACTCAAAACATCAGCCAGTTGTCCCCCACTCTTCACAAAAGGTATACCCAATAAGGCCCAAACTTAGCTTCTCTATTTCAAGTGGTGGGGATGGAAATGAATATTAGAATTGTTAAGGCAATGATGAAGAGGTGGAGGTGGAGCTTTTGTGGGACAAAATGGAGTGTCTGGGTGGCAGTAACAAAGGAGTTTCCTGATATTCCTCTTTTGTTATTACAATATAATTGGAATGCCATTTCTAATCGATTGATCTTTATTACATTTTCATTTTTCTCTTTGTTCTCTATTTTTAATGCAGTTAAAGTCTTGTCTTGTATCAAAAAAAAAAAAAAATTGCCTATCAGCCTCAATATGTTCAGTTTGATTGTGTTGAATTGGGCCATGTGCAATATTAATGATTACTTCTTGTTAAAGTCTCATTAGGCTACATGAGTCAACACCAAACTTCATCATCATAATTTGTCGCCAGAAAAGCTCACACACCCCATATGTCATAGCTCTAAACTCAAACTCACCTCTGGATCTTTGCAACAATTGTCTATTTCTTATTACACCAGGTAACTAAGTTGCCGCAAACAAAGGTACAATACCCAGAAGTAGGTTGTCTATCCATGACTAATCCAAAACATCTCCCAAATGCTGACTTTATGTGAAGAACTGATACTTTGTTAAAGTCAATGATTCCGTATAGGATATCATATTGGATACTTTGTCGTTACGTATTCACAATACATACGCTTTAGAGAGGAAAAATGCAATGTTAGAAAAATATATATAATTTTAATTTTAATCTTTGTCGTTTCCCCTTGAATTCACATACAATACAGCAAATAAAGAAAATCCATACGAATATGAAGACAAGTGTGTTTCTTAA